TTATATATATATATATATATATATATATATATCAAACTATAACTTTGTATCTTGTGATACATAAATTGCACGCGATAAACAATCGTAAATGAAGTGTAAAGCGCAATGATCGTTTATATCGAGAAACATTCTCGAATTGAATTATAGTTCGAGGATCGTGAGTCAGGGGTGTATTGTCTAGAGACAGATGTCAAAAAATGCAACGCCTTGTCATCTCAAGAATATTTCGCTACACGCAGATGAGATGCTGATTGAAATTTACACGACAACACACTTTCGGCGCGTCGCCCCGTCTATTCGCATCGTTTTAACTATCGCGGATGAATCCGTCACAACAATCCGAACAGGCCAAAAGTTGTTATACGTCGTATCGTTGAAACAATCGGCCAGAAATAGGCGACACGTCGTGCGTCATGTTGGCAAATAATTCCGCAATGCGGAAAAATCGTCACCCTCTCCGCGCTCGAGATCGCCAAGTTATTGCAATCGTAACTTCATGGGAAAATAAGCGAGTAAAATTAAGAAATTCCTTCTTAATTGAATTAACAAAGGTTTATTACGAAACTGAATTTCAATATTTTTGTAAATCGAACTGATTTTAAAATGTTGAAGACAATTTTTCTACGGCTTTTTCTGCGGTTCAATCCGAATTAAACCGCATTAATTATTAAAAAAAATCTGAAATTCTGAAGATTCTAAAAATTTATTTCAAGTTATATATTTTTCAAGATATATTTTTAATTGTTAAATCAATTATATAATTTATAATTTAGTTCTTTAACGATTTGATTTTTTAATATGTCGTAGAAAAATCATTATCATAATCAAATGTCATTATTTCGCATTTAGTTCGCGATGAAAAATCAAGAATCTTGAAAAATTAATCGTTCTATGTTATTTTTTATTTGATGTAACATAATGTTCTTATGCGCGCGAAGTTGCGACGAGAGTTTCGATGTGGCCGCGATGTCGTGGTCCAAATGTCGTCGCAGCTTGGAATAGACGTGAGTTATGTAAAGAAAACCGACGATTCCCGTAGATTCCGAGATACACGGAAAACATCTTCGTGATTTTTTTAAAAACATTAGCTTCGCTTCGAGTATCCACGAGTAACCGCACGCTGAATTCGATTCCTCATTTAGCATTTAATTCTTAAATTCTTAAGTATTACTTAGAATTAAATCTGCCAATCTATTGGTCTATTGGTCTTCGATTTATCTCAGCTAAAATTCTCAAAAAAAAAAAAAAAAACACCAAAAATACAGGAAATATAGAAAACAAAAACCGCCTATACCTTGTCAAATATTAAAATCTTTTAAAGAATATCTCTCAATTAAAATTAATATAATCAAAATAATTATAATCAATCTAACTTCATAAGACATTTTCATCTGGCCGAATTAATCTTGGCAAAAGATGGGCTCGATCTTCTGCGCATTTTGAAACGATATTTCGATTATGACAATTATTTCAAAACCCTTGCGGTATTTTACTATTGCGGTTGCTCGATGAGAAAACGTTGCGAGGAATTTGTCAACAGCCTCGTTGTAAACAACAATGGCGATTTGTATGTCGCTATTGTTAGATAAACGAGTGTTTTTATTGATATCGGCCGATTTTTGTTAAGGCATGTGCGAGTTTTAATGTAATTCAATACGACCCGCGAGATGGGCTCCAAAGATTAACTGCATGCAGGAGGGGGAAGAAGTAGAGATTTTGCGGACGATGTAGATATATTCGGAGGAATTTTGTAGGCAAAAATAACCACGGTAGGCCACCGGTGGCTACCCAGCAGGGGCGCGTCAGCGAGAATCCGAGATTTTCGGGAGTTAAGACACAACAGGTCCTAGGCTTCACGCCTAGGTAGCAATTAAGCAAAAGCATCATCGTATCTCCAAACAGAGAGGAAGGAAAAGAGAAAGGAGGATAGGCTAATATCGCATAGTTTTTCAGACTTTTCTCCACGATTAAATAAAATATAGCGACATGACTGTTCCATGCTGCTAGAGCGATGGTAAACAGATGTTTCTTAGAATCTTCTCAACGATGTTGGACGTTGATAATAACATAAATAAATATTTAAATCACTCGCCCATTCCCTTTGAGAATGTTAAATATATATTAGAAAAAAGATATTATTAATGATTAATGGCAATAACATATGACCGTCTCGAAAATTGATTGCCGTAAGTAATTCCGGAGCATAATGTGTGTCTTAAATTATATGAGATATTCGGCGGGATAGAAGAAACGTGAGAACGGCAGCTTTCGTGTTTATGACCAGGGATATAAATACGTTCCAAGTTATGAATAAAATGCGAAACGCGTGTAAGATCGCAGGAAAATGCATCAGAAATAAATCGTTGCAATTTCCGCGAGAGTGTCGTTTAATGAAGCGTATTCGATGTTGTTTTTTCCGCTCAGGATTTGGTTAAAGACACAGGGTGATTTGAGTATCGCGTAGGTGGAAGCGAGCAATTCCAACTTAAAAAAAAAAAAAAAAACGTTAGCGACCTCGATAAATTCAAACGAGGAACGTTGAAGAAAGATTTTGCGTGTTATGCTAGCCCCTGAGACTATCTCCAAATATCTCTTCTAAATGTTCTCTTATATAACGAAATCTGAAAGTTTGCTCGAAAAAATCCGAAGGTGTTTAAGCGGATATTTAGATCATGTCTTTATTCTGGATTTCGATAAGATATGTGCAACGTTAAATTTCTCATCGACAAACATACAAAGGGGGATGTAAAATACTCAAGACGCGACGAAGGGGATGATAAAGACACCGTTTACGAGATGTATTTTTTTTGTGATGTGTTAAACGCGATAAACAGAAAGTATTTGATTATTATCTGTAAAATACACGCGCGTGTGTGTCAGCGAACTCGTGATTATTTATTATCATTAACTGAAACAATTAGACATGTAAGAAATAATCCTGTTTATCCCAATATAATATAGATATTATCTGACAAGCTAACTGTTAAGTTAGTCGAATTTGATGTAAGTCGGTTTTAGAAAAAAAAAAATTTTCTAAGAAAAAAGCGTACAAAAAGTATATAAATTTGTTTATATTTACCACATAATCTGTATCTGTAAGGAAAGAGAAGAGAGAGAGAGAAAGAGAGAAGAGAGAGAGAGAGAGAGAGAGAGAGAAGAAAACAACTAATTTACTAAGTACTACTATTTAGTATAGTAAAC